ATCCAAAGTTCAAATCTCTGTGTTAAGTATAAGGCAGCACCTTGGCTCATTGGTGACTGACAAGGGTTTGGGGTGGAGGTATGGAGGATGGATGATGCTTAAAAATCTTCCTTGAGTAATAATTTTCCTCTGCAACTTGCTGGGGGAGCGTGGCAAGGGCAGGTCTTCTCACATATCTGTAATTCTATTTAATATTTAATATATATACTATTTAATATTTCTTTTTATATATATAATAAACTTATTCTCCTTGGATCTGCAGCAACTATTATTTCTCATGAGCTCCCTTCTGTTAGGATTTAATCAAATCCATGAATATTTAAAAATGTTTTTAAACAAAGAAGTTCTGGAAATGCCCATCTTGTCCAACTTCTTCATGTTGTATTTGAAAAAACTGAAGCTTAGAGCATCGAAATAATATATTAAAAATGACAGTGGTGGAGCCTAACTCTGAAACAAGAATTCTTTCCATTCTACTTTCTTACCTTTATAAATTTCCAGGCTTCTAAATCCATACTGTGTTGCTCTTGTGGATGATAGAGTGTGCAACATGAGCAAGCCTAGCTGCTGCACCTGTCCCCTCCAAAGCCACACAAACATTACCACCAACACAAAAACAGTACATTTGCCATGCAGTTGCAGCTGTACCATTCTTTTAGCCAGATTGCTACCTAAAACCCCTTCTGTATAGAAATTCTGAATTGCCACAAACCACACCCCAGTGATGGTGGATGGGATGGGGTGAGGTGATTTATGTGTGCGTGTGTGTATGTGTGTGTGTGTCTGTGTGTGTGTGTGTGTGTGTGTGTGCATATGAACTACTGACTACAGCCTGACCAGATCCTGGCAAAGACGCAACTCAAATTAGTGCAAATTTCCCAGATAGTGGGGTTATCTTGGTATAAGAAGCCTGGCACTTTGCCATCTAGGAGTTTCTTTAAATATTGGCTTTGATAAGTAGGCATATTTTGTGTTCTTATAACCTGTGACACAAATCAGCTGACCTCTGCAGGAACTATGATTAAACACTAAAAGTATCATGATGTTATGATTTATGGTGCCATTTATTTGTGCAGAAAGTAGGGTGACAATCCCTTACTGGGGACTTAACCCCTACTGTTTTCTCTGCATTGCGTTATATCACCAGCTATTATTACTCCCACATTTCTATTCAATACTCAAAAAGTACCATCCCAAGTGATGGAGCAGAAATCTTCAAACCAGGATGCACCTGACTTTCCAAGGGGTACCAGGCAAGGAGAGTGTTAATTAAACCTATATGCAAATTCTCAACTTTCACATGCATACTTTCCTAAAACCAAGGTGACTAAAAACACAACCTTCTCCTACTTGACAAGAGAAAATCATACCTTTTACTAATCTAACTCTTATTTATCATGGAGCCTTGCCCCTGGCCGTAAAATACATGGGTATGCCGTAGACAATTCAAAGTATTGGTACGGGTATTAAGAATTTGAATGCTTCAAATGATAGTGTAATAAGTCCTTTTTCAAGTCCGGTGATTTCCATTTCTCTCCTGTCATCATTTCGAGGGAGGACCCAATTAAGTTATAAGCTTTGACTGAATTTTGGTGATAAATCACTGTAAAATTTGGGGCATATAACTTGGAAGGACTTCAAAGAATTGAGAAACATTGCTAAAATATAACTTCCATTTCCATTTGCTTATTAATGGGAATGAAGTTTCTCAATGTTTAAATCCTTAAAAATGAAATATAGGAAGAAGGCTGATGCTGAACTTGTCTAATTTGGTCGATTAATGATATTCATTCATGGATCTATGAATGAATAAGGGAAGAGACCCTCCTTTCATTTAGAGATGCACCTTCAATAGAATTTTAAATGTAAAAGTTGAAGTTACTTATCAAAACTTGCAGTATATTTAGGATAGTTTATTTGTGTACTAAAAGCAATTGTTAAGCTAACTCAATCAAAAAAAAAATTTAACACTTAGAGACTTATGATTTCAGAAAATTAAAATCTTTTAAATTATGATTTATTATGTTTTTATTTTTACAAAGAAGCATGATAGGGTAATCAAGAAAAGACTTTAAACTTAAAATGTATTATATGAGGTTAAAATTCTGTAGGGGAAATAGAAGAGAAATAAGTATTAAAGGAGAGAAAATGAATAATGTAAAATTTCTTATTATTAAGAGCTTGCTTATAAAGCCGGGCGCGGTGGCTCATGCCTGTAATCCTAGCACTCTGGGAGGCCAAGGCAGGTGGATTGTTTGAGCTCAGGAGTTCGAGACCAGCCTGAGC